CCAACTAAAAATTGCTTAAAAAATTCCTTGGCTTCAAGAGTGGGAGGAGAAAGAGAGACGATGAGATACTGTAAATATATATATATACACTAAAAAAATGGATTTGATGAGTAAAAGGGCATTTATCGAGAGCCGTTGATTTTCCACTTTAAAATCACATGTGAGATATGAGCCTGTCTCTTATAAACATCTTTTCCGAACATAAAAAGGGAAAGAGAGCTAAGTCCTAATGAACAAAGTTCCTATGTTGTCTCCATGGAGAATGCTCCCAATACCCACTGGTGGACTTGAAAAGAAGGTAGTGCCTTGGGTAAGATTCTGACCAATAGAGCTCATAAAATCCGCTGTCGAATTCCCTTCCTGCAAAGTAAGAAACTTTTCTTGGCCCGTATCAATGTGTCATCTACGCTTCTTTTCAATGAAAAATATATGAAGAACTCAGGATTCTTTGACTAATACATTCAAAATCCTGAGAGCTACTAGTGAAAGTGAATCCTATGTTCTGGGCCACTAGAACCTTGCTCCAGAGATCAACTCAATAATGGTTATGGTGATTGTTAACAGATTCCACCATAGTTGAGGCAGCACAGAAAGCCAGCTGGGAACCGATGCCTGTTCTTGATTGTAGGGCATTTCTGTGTCAATGCCAAAACAGCAGCAATCTGGGTCGCAAACCAAATGCTGTAGGACTGCGCAGCAGCAACAATCCACTAAACTGCAAATGTCTGCCGTTTCAACTTCAAGTCAGGAATTGCTCATAAACTGTCAAGATTACAACAGTGGGGACATTGCAACATACAGAAAAGCCCGTTTCATTTGAACAACAAATTCTACAAGATACAAATACATAGTACAGAACAAAATTGTGTTTGCAAGGGAGCTGTAATACTTGTATTACAACACACAAAAGTGACAATAAGTTACATGTTTGGAATGTAACATATATCTAACAAACAGGGGGGAAAAAAAAAAGACTTGAAAGAATTGAACTTAAAAATACATTCTGATGACGACTCCTTACATATCTAAAGTAGAATGCTGTTCTGGTTTTGGTCCTCTCATTAAACATCCTTGGAAGTCAGATGTGCTAGTGGATCGCTTGGAGAGGACTAGATCCTGCAGAAGTTATGGAGAAACTTATACCTTCAGAGCCAGGGGTTCCAGAGTCTGGAGATTTCCCACTGACATTATTATATGGTGTTGAATTCATTGCCCTGCATAATTAAACATGTTTTAAACTGAGAAACTCAGGTTTCTACAAAGCAGAAACAAGTCTGGTATTATATGCAAAATCACATTACATACATATATTAAATGAGAACTTATTGTGAGACTACTACACACCTTTCTTTGCGCTTCTCTAAGAATCGAGCCAAGGATGCTTTACGAGCCTGAGGCACAGCCACTGCCAAAAAAAAAAGTCCTTTTGCTTCAGATTTTTTTGTTAAATACCTAAGATATGTAGATAATCAGGAAAATGTTTACTGAGAGTGCATTAGACGTAGCAGGTACTAAAAACAGTTTAATACCTGCTGGAATTAGCCTGGTAGTAGCAGCTCCTACTGAAGTAGCAGGAATTAGCGTGGTAGTAGAAGATCCTACTGAAGTAGGAGGAATTAGTGTCGTAGTGGCTGATCCTACTGCAGTAGCAGGAATTAGTGTTTTAGTTGCAGATCCTATAGAAGTAACAACTTTATGAGGCTCCAATTGGCTAACAGAAGATGCTAAAGCTCCAATTGATTTTACAGTTGCTAGTTCATTTGTGCTATTAGATCCTCCCCCTCGATGCAAATTAACATGAGGGGTTGTAGATATAGGGCTTGAAAGGTTTGAATATGATAAGGTAGCTTGCAATTTTTTCCCAACACCATCAGCTGAAGCAGGGCATGGGATTGGTGCTGGTGCTTGAGCCATGGGAATCATCTTATTACCAGTTGTAGAACACCCATTTCCAGCCAATAGCATAATAGCCTGAGCCTAGATATCAAAAAAAAAAAAATAATGGAGGTTAAAACACACAGTTCACCTTAATTCATAAGAGAAACATGAAGCAGATAAATGAGATTAAAGCTATAAGCTACCTTTTCAGGACACACATCATCATAAACACACACTGAACCAGCATAGAATATGGTTAACTGAGAGGGTTCTGTGGAAGTTTTGGGAGTACTCCTACAAAAGAAATTGAATTTTAGCTTTACCATGTCAGCTGATCCTCTAAGTGTAGTAATTTTTCTTCTTTTTTTGATCAGCTCAAACTGTAGGAAATTATTTCATCATATCTTTATTTATTTTTCATAGAAGTAGCATGTTTAAAAAATGTATGATAGATACCTAAGATCAGTGGTGCCAATGACAGAACTTGATGCAGGAACAACAGACAGAGGGGCAGCCATAATTGGAACACCTCCAAGAGGTTGTGCAATTCCGGTATTACCCACCATAGTCTGTCCAGTGGAAACAAGACGTGCCTGGGCAATAGGAGGGCTCATTGAAAGATTAATTGATTGATTTGGTTGGTTGGAGACTGGAAATATCCTTGCTTCCTGGGAACGTACAGGTGGACATGCATCAAATTTTTGTAGACCATACGTCATCACAGCATGGAGATTCCCACCTTGCTTTTCAACCACCATATTCTTCTACAAGTCAGAAGTAACAGCAATGAGGGAAGATCAGTTGGGATAAACCAGATTAAAGAACTTATGGCCAGGGTCCTAGACATGGAAACAGATTACTTTCCAGTTTCCACATACTGAACTTCAACAGTTAACAAGTAAGAAAGATCATATATAGGTTCAACAGCACAAGTTTAAAAGTAAAATCAAATTGCTTGGTGATAAAAATAAATTTCCGAATTCAAGTTAAATGAAATGCAAAAAGACAAACTGCACTGGGGTAACAAGTCAATAACAAACCTGAACCATGCCAGAATATTGTTTCTGATTGGATTCATGAGCATCGGTTGTTGACAGAGCCATAAATCCAGATGACAGCAGATGATCATGAGCAGTCTTTCTACACCTGTCATCTTGAGATGCCTTGAAAGACAGGAACGGAGGTATAGCAGAAACCTTGCTTGAGAATGACCACTGCATTCCTGAACCTTTCATTGGTGCTGCAAAACAAGGAAAATAAGAAGCCTGGTATTACAACCTTTAATAATACTTAAGATCCAGCAGTATGTATATATGGGGAAAGAAAAACATTAAAAAAAAAAAAAAACCCATGTTATTATTTTTTTCTAAAAGAGGGGAAGAGACACCTCATGTGCTATTTTCTTTAGATATCTTCAAACCTAAAGGTGTATACTAACAAGAGTAAAGTAACACGATTTAAGAGACCAAAAAATTAAATGGCTGTCCATAACCATATGTAGAAGGAATCTTGACTTATTCTAAGTGAGTTAAAAGAAAAATGTTCCCCATAAATGATAAAACTACTACAAACGAGGAAAAAAATAATTATCAATATTAAAACCCAGAATTAAATACAAAGGCACACCATAGGCAAATTAATATAATCTTATCACAAAGCATCTAATCAACTAGTTTAATACTAAAGCATTTTAAAATGAAAGTAAGAAATAATCTGCAATGACATCAGGTACTTAGAACCTTGGTAATGAAGGTTGAAACCACTCTCAAAATACTAAAAAGTCACTGGTCAGAACTTCGGGCCACATGGCCCGTGATAAAGAGCGATCAAATCTGAAATATATTATCCATTGTAACGCATACAAATGCTATTTTAATGAGCATTTTTAGCACAAATGTCGACAGCACATGTCACAGGGCACTACCTATCAAAATGGCACATTGGAGAAAATAAAGATCCACCATATATTAAATTAAATTAAATTCCTTGTTAGGACCATTACTGTAACCACATTGTCCCATTAAAGTTAATTGATTAATACGCAACCATGTTATCGGATCATATTATAATGCAAAATGTTTTTCTTTTTCTCAGGCCAGCTAAGTATTTTATCATAAATATTCTTGTTCCAACGCATGCACTACTATTCATAATAATCAATACATCATAAAATACAACTAAAAGATTCAAATCTAAAAGAATAAAGAAATGAAAACGAGAAACGACAACTCAACACGGCACATTAGTTTAACACATGACAACCCCACGCACATGTTGGGATAACCTTAACTTACTCAACAACAGAACACCAAAACTTCAAGCAATAATAAACTATTTCAAAATATATTTTTCTTCCTCAATTTTTAAATTAGATGGAGAAAAAGATAAAACTAACCATATGGGCAAATGGACCATAGGAGGTGTTTGATTTGTGGTACATTTTCACTTGTGAAGGTTTTGGGGTATTTCAATATTTACAAATTTCAATACTATAACAAATACATAAAAGATAAAGTTTCCATTTTCATACACAAAAGTTGTTAACCTAAACTTCCCTAACAATTCCAATGAAAAATTTTAAATTTACTAAAACCAAACACACCCTTGCGTTCCTATAGCAAACCAACACAGGACCTTCCTGGCTACCTAACCAGCTGGTACTGAACACACCCATAGCACGTTAGCATTTTCCTTGAAATAGTACTAGAACAATAAAAAAAATAGTAATAAATTTCCATTTTCCCAATAATTAATGCTGTCCTTCCTATTATTAATTAAAGTATCCTAGGACCCGCTGTAAAGTGATTGTACCTTATGTTGCAAAATGTTGCACCATATCACGAGCCTTCTTAATGGAAAGAGAATTTTGGTCGTGGGTTTCTCTTGTAGAACCAACTTTC